CTGAGATGCTGGCTTTGTTACTCTTCGTTCTTCCATGGATTAGGAATGGACTCGAGGAATTAGATTGGAAAGTGTTGTATCTATTTACATGGTGGTTTCATACTCGAATGTTTATTGGGCGTGGCTTGCGTGAAGGGCTCATAGATAATATCAAGTACTCGATTTTCTGGGTAGCAGTATTGGCTGCCAAATTTTCGTTTAGTTACTTCTTTCAGATTCAGCCCCTTGTTGGTCCAACCAAGGGGCTTTTGAACCTCAAGGGTCCTTATAAATGGCATGAATTTTTTGGTAGCACCAATGTTGTAGCTGTTGTGTTGTTATGGACTCCCGTTGTGCTAATATACCTTATGGATTTGCAGATTTGGTATTCTATCTTCTCATCGCTTGTTGGTGCTACAGTTGGGTTGTTTTTGCATTTGGGTGAGATTCGGAACATTGGTCAGTTAAGCCTTAGATTTCAATTCTTTGCCAGTGCAATGCAATTTAGTCTCATGCCAGAGGTACAACAGCTCACGCCTAAAATGACACGTCTGAAGAAAATCCGTGATGCCATCCACCGATTGAAGCTAAGATATGGACTTGGCCAACCTTACAAAAAGATTGAATCAAGCAGGATAGATACTACCAAGTTTGCTTTGATTTGGAATGAGATTATTATAACTATGAGGGAAGAAGATCTCATTAGTGATAGAGATTTCGATCTCTTGGAGCTTCCACCTAATTGTTGGAACATTAGGGTAATCCGTTGGCCATGCTTCCTCCTTTGCAACGAACTGCTCCTTGCTCTCAGTCAGGCAACAGAGCTTGCAGATAACCCTGACGAGGATCTTTGGTCAAAGATATGCAAGAATGAGTATCAGAGATGTGCTGTAATTGAAGCATATGATAGTGTGAAGGCCGTGCTTTTGACTATTGTTAAATATGGTTCAGAAGAAAACTCCATTGTTGCAAAATTATTTATGGACATAGATAACGTTATTGGACTGGGGAAGTTCCTGGATGCATACAACTCAAATGTGCTCCCAGAAATTCACACCAAGTTAATTTCACTTCTTGATATTCTAATTGAAACCGAGAAAGATGTGAGCAAGGCAGTGAATATATTGCAGAGCAAGGCAGTGAATATCTTGCAGGCCTTGTATGAACTTTCCATTAGAGAGTTCCCAAAATTGAAGAAATCCACCAAGCAGTTGAGAGAAGAAGGATTGGTGCCTCGTAATCCAACCACTGATGAAGGATTGCTCTTTGTGAAGGCAGTTGAGTTTCCTAATTTAGAGGACAAAATGTTTTATAGGAATGTCCAGCGTTTGCATACAATTCTTACATCTAGAGACTCAATGCATGGCGTCCCTTCCAATCTCGAGGCTAGAAGACGACTAGCTTTCTTTAGCAATTCACTTTTTATGAACATACCCCGTGCTCCATATGTAGAAAAAATGATGCCTTTCAGTGTTCTGACCCCTTACTACGATGAAGAAGTTGTGTATGGCAAAGAAATGTTACGAAGTGAGAATGAGGATGGTGTTTCGACTTTGTTCTATCTGCAGAGAATCTACGAGGATGAGTGGAGGAATTTTATGGAGCGAATGCGTAAAGAGGGTTTGGAGCATGAGGATGACATATGGACTAAAAAGTCGAGGGACCTTCGTCTTTGGGCATCATATAGGGGTCAGACTTTATCTCGAACTGTTAGGGGAATGATGTATTATCATAGAGCACTAAAAATGTTCTCATTTCTAGATACTGCATCTGAGATGGATATTAGAATGGGATCACAAGAGATTGCTTCACATGGTTCAATAACCCGAAAGCATGCCTTGGATGGTTTACATTCAACACAACCTCCTTTCAGGAATTTGACTAGATCGACTTCTGGAGAATTGTTATTTAGAGGATATGAGTATGGGACCGCCCTTATGAAATTCACCTATGTGGTTACCTGCCAAGTTTATGGGCTACAAAAAACAAAAAGAGACCCTCGGGCAGAGGAGATCTTAAATTTGATGAAGGAAAACGAAGCCCTTAGAGTTGCCTATGTTGATGAAGTTCATCATGGGAGGGATGAGGTTGAATTTTACTCTGTCCTTGTTAAGTATGATCAAGAGCTACAGAAGGAAGTTGTGATCTATCGAATTAGGTTACCTGGTCCTTTGAAGATTGGAGAAGGGAAACCAGAAAATCAGAACCATGCAATTATCTTTACACGGGGCGATGCAATTCAGACCATTGACATGAACCAAGAGAATTATTTTGAGGAGGCACTCAAGATGCGAAATTTATTGGAAGAATTTAAGAACTCTTATGGTATTAGGAAGCCAACCATCTTAGGTGTTCGTGAGAATGTCTTCACTGGCTCAGTGTCCTCTCTTGCTTGGTTCATGTCCGCACAAGAGACTAGCTTTGTGACCCTAGCACAGAGAGTTCTGGCAAATCCTTTAAAGGTTAGAATGCATTATGGGCACCCTGATGTATTTGACAGATTCTGGTTTCTGACTCGTGGTGGAATCAGCAAGGCTTCTAGAGTGATCAACATTAGTGAGGATATATTTGCTGGCTTCAATTGCACGCTTAGAGGGGGCAATGTGACACACCATGAATATATACAGGTGGGCAAAGGAAGAGATGTTGGCTTTAATCAAATCTCTATGTTTGAGGCCAAGGTGGCCAGTGGCAATGGTGAGCAGGTTTTGAGCAGGGATGTATACCGGCTGGGTCATAGATTGGATTTCTTTCGAATGCTTTCAGTTTTCTACACAACTGTTGGGTACTATTTCAACACAATGCTTGTAGTATTGTCTGTTTTTGTATTTTTATGGGGCCGACTTTATCTTGCACTTAGTGGGGTTGAGGATGCAGCAGTAGCATCAAGTTCTGGAAACAATAGGGCCCTTGGAGCAATACTGAATCAGCAGTTTATAATCCAACTTGGTCTTTTCACAGCACTACCAATGATTGTGGAGAACAGCCTAGAGCACGGGTTTCTTCCAGCCATTTGGAACTTCTTGACAATGCAGTTGCAGCTATCGTCATTTTTTTACACTTTCTCTTTGGGAACTCGCACCCACTTCTTTGGCCGCACCATTCTTCATGGTGGAGCTAAGTATCGAGCGACAGGACGTGGGTTCGTGGTGCAGCACAAGAGCTTTGCAGAAAACTACAGACTATATGCTCGAAGTCATTTTGTGAAGGCAATTGAGCTTGGGGTTATTTTAATAGTGTATGCTTCCCGGAGCCCTCTGGCTAAAAGTACTTTTACTTTTGTCATTTTGTCAATCTCTAGCTGGTTTCTCATAGTTTCATGGATAATGGCCCCCTTCATATTTAATCCTTCTGGATTTGATTGGTTAAAAACAGTTTACGACTTTGATGATTTTATTAATTGGTTATGGAATACTGGTGGAGTGTTCACAAAAGCAGAACAGAGCTGGGAAGCATGGTGGCTAGAGGAGAACAGCCATCTGAGAACAACGGGTCTGTGGGGAAAACTTCTAGAGATCATTTTGGATCTTCGTTTCTTCTTCTTCCAGTACGCAATTGTATATCACCTTAACATTACTGGTAACAAAACCAGTATTGCTGTCTATTTTATTTCCTGGGTATCCATGATTGTTCTTGTTGGGATTTATATTGTTATAGCATATGCTCAGGATAAGTATGCTGCGAAGGAGCATATCTATTATCGATTGGTTCAATTAATAGTCATTGTGGTTATAGTACTGGTGATTGTTATATTGATGGAGTTCACACCCTTTAACACGGCCGATCTTGTTACGTGTCTCTTGGCATTCATTCCCACTGGCTGGGGCATAATATCAATTGCTCAGGTGCTAAGACCTTTTCTGCAAACCACTGTCGTGTGGGATACTGTTGTTTCATCGGCCCGGTTGTATGATCTACTGTTTGGAATGATTGTCATGGCCCCTTTGGCACTGCTCTCATGGTTGCCTGGTTTCCAGTCAATGCAAACAAGAATCTTATTTAATGAAGCCTTCAGCCGAGGCCTCCAGATATCTCGTATCATTGCTGGCAAAAAGACCGTATGAAATATGAATTCAGGTACTCCCCTTTTCAATCTTTTCTAGAAACTAAACAAAAATATGACCAATTTGCAAAAAGACTATTGAATTTTTATCGTCTATTCTTTTAGTTTTTCGAGTGTAAGGCAGTCGTCGTGCATGCTTCCTCTTTTTTCTTCGATGGTATTTTGTTGTAGATATCGTTCCCTTGCAGTTTTATGGATTTGTTAAACTATAAGTTTGGTTGGTTGTCCTGTATCTAGTGCCGATTCTGTATATAACTAACAGTTAATATCATTTGTTAAAAAGCACTTCATCCTGAATTTTAGCAACTTATTCAATAAACTCCACCATGATTGCTTTGTGTTTCATGTTATGAGGTTCTTCAAATGCATTCTGTAATTGGAGTCTTATTCAGCCATCCTCAATATCTCAGATCTTCGAGCTTTTATTGTTGATGCATTTCTGAGAGCCACCGCATTCAACGGTTTCACACCAGATATGTGTACTGTATTCAATGAAATCGAGCCTCTGGTGTTTCACAGGGAAGGACACAGGAATTCCTCGACATTCAAGATTTGTACATACTGTTCATATTTATTGTAGTAGCCCATGCACTAATTAAGTCCTCAAGCTGGTTACTGTATTTTATTGAAAACTAGTTCTGATAGAACTTTCCTCTACCTGCCCACCTTGACATCCTTCATGATTTATTGTATGACTATTGAATTTTGACTTCCATGTTGTTCAAGATCCAGTGAATTGAGTAATTGAAATGAGTTTCTTGGAGAGACAATATATGCATTCAGAGGTTTGTGCGAGTACTCATAGACTGAGGGCCAGGAGCTTCTGCCAAATGGTAAAAATCAATAAAAGGAATAGCACCATCCAATACCTTTTCTTTATATCATTTACCTTAAAGTGACATGATCATTCTTTTCTCCGGTCGATCAAGTACAAGTCAGGCAAGATACATCAGAGAAAGATATTGAGAAAACTTGCTATTTCTGTGTATGATTCAAAACTCAAGGGAAGCTTTGCAATAATCAAAATACAAACTGTCCTATCTTACAATTCCTCGTTGCTTATGGTTGGCAGTTGATCATATGAAGGACCCTGTTTACGAAGTACTCTTGGCAGCATGCATCGACCACCAAAGCGCTGCTGCAAAAATATGATAAGAGCTAATACAAGAACACTGCTAGGGATGATGATGTCCCAGGCAGTGGAATAGAAGTCTAGTTTGTGGTTTGCATATATGTATGATAAATCAAGGTACCAGCTGGAATGATGAGCCCTGTAAAGGTCATAAGCATGAGGCAGTAGACGAACAAATGTGGTTCCCATATAGAAGGAGAAGGCTAGAGCCCTTTCTTTAGAATCAAGCATCAAGTTGAATATGATCTGTGGGATCAGAAAACCATCCAAGACTAAACCTCCAAGTGATTTGAGAATCTCCCAGAAAGAGTTTTGCTGGTATGGGAGCTTTCGAGTAGGATAAGATCGATATCGTGCGTGCCTTGGTTGCAAAAATGGCATGTACGAGCTCGAATCCTTCCACTTATAAACGAGCCAAGCAATCAAAATGCCGAGTGCATATAATGGTAGAGTCAGATAAGTAAGTTTTATCTCGGAATCCCACAAGTCCTTCTCACTTGTATTGTCCTGTCGTGACGACCAAGTGAGCTGGAGAAGACGCAACTGCAAAAGGAAAGCCACCATCGTTACGACTCTAACGATTACTTCATTCACTTCAAGCCATCCCCCACTGCCAAGAAACACACTCTGCTGATTACGGTCTGCTGCAAACAAAGCTTCAAAGTTCAGCAGAAGAGGAATCATATATCCCAAACACATAATCACAACCATCAAGACAGAAACGAATGGAAGCACCTCTGGATGTTTATTTACATAAAGGAGTTGCAAGACAACGAAGAGACATGCAAAGGTATTGGAAACCAGAACCATAGTGATCTCAAGGTCCATTCTCCATATGGATTCTTCAGCTTGGTTATCATAAATTGAAACTGAAGACAACACCAGATTATCAAAATAGAAAGGATCTGACTTCGGCCTTTTGCTTTCAATGGTTCCCTTAAAACGATCCATCCCACTTGCATCTAGAGGTGGAAATTGGACTTTGACAACAATTTCACAGTCCAGTATACGATTCTTCATCAGCTCTCGTTGCCAGCATCCTGTCATACACAAAGAGCCAGTGTTCTTGTCGTATAATCCTTCAGCAGAAATCTCCACTTTTTTTGATGAAAAGTTTTGCCCAGCTATCTTGAAATCATTATCAGCGCTGAAACTTATCCTATAGCTAATGTTCAGCAGACCATTGTAGCTGGGCATTGGAACTGCAGATTCTCTTTGCCCGGACAGAGAAGAGTTTACATCATTCTGATAAAAATGCTGACCATAAAAGAATGGCGATGCATAACCCCTTGCAATCTCATCTTCGCTGTTCTTCAAGGACAAATCAAATCTCATGTCTGATGAATTCTCAGAAGGGTATGTCTTTTCCTTACCATAAACATTCTTGCTTCGAGGGCATGAACTTTGTGTTCCAACCTCAGTATATTCATATTTGATTCGTGAAGGATCTATCAACATTGCATTATAACTACGAAACCCAATTTTCTGAAAGTAACCTGATTCATTTGCAGATTTGGAGCTCCAAATTTGACCCTCAATAGTACTTCGGTTTCTGATAGAAAAAACAGCAGGAAACCTCAGACTTAGCCTTATCGAACAATCTCCAATGGAAGCATTTGTTAACGATTGTGTATAGTTCATGATCCGGCAGGCAACAGCACAAAGCTGCCTTTCCTCCTGATCCCACATTCCTTCAGCAATCAAGGTGTCACTAGGTATGAAAGAATATCTATTAACACGATAGCTTGAATTGGCAAAGCGTAATAATATTAGCATTTTTCCCTCATGGGTGCACTCAATTCCTTCATAATTCATTGAAACAGGCAAGTACTTGACATTCTTTCCAAGAGGATTGCAGTTCATATCATCGCAGTCACTCTCATACTCCAAATCAAACGTATCAGTAAGCGTACGAAATACAGAGCATACATTTTGAGATAGCTTCAGACCTCTATCATTTCCACTCAAGCAACCAACCTCGATTCCTTTATCTATTAATGTATACTTGTATTCCGGACTATCGGCTAGACTCAAGATTGAAACAGGTTCGAAAAATTGCGGACCGCTATTGGCATTCAAACTCTCCAAAGTTCCAGTAATCAAGCTATTAAAAATGGTTACGTTTGTAGGACAATCCAGCTTGAGAATAACATTCAAATTCTGTAAAACTCCCGAGTTCATTAAACTCGTACCTGATCCAACCATGCATACCTTCCCAGACGTTTCTGACCAAAATCCATCGAGCGCAAATCCCACTCTCGGCTTCCAGGGATGAGTCCTCGGCCCTCGGTACCGAATCAAACGCAATCGACGGTGCTGGTAATCGTCGAAAGAATTGAGATACATCATGGAGCCTCGAAGAACCAAGGAAGCTTGGAGTTTAACAATGCCCGGGGAAACGGTTTTATGGGCACGGAGCGCATAAACGAACACATGTCTGGAGAAAAAAGAGTCCAAACGTCGGGGTTGAGTGATAATCTTGTCGCCTCCGGTGAAGTAACTGTTCCTTAACTGAAGCATGGAAGTGGCGGAGGGGAAGGAAGAGGGGTCGGTGTCTAAAGGCGATTTGGGAACGATTTGATTGCAATGTTGGTCGTATAGGGCTTCGGTATCGGAATTCCAATGATCGATCCGCGAGGCCGTTGAAGCGATGTTGAGGAGGAAGAAGATGAAGAAGAAGAAGAGAAGGGAAATCCATGGGAACAGAGAATTGAAGCTGAAGCATTGAGGGAACATGATGAAATAGGGAAAGGCAGAGACAACTCCAATGGGTTATGGGCAAAAGAGCTCCTCCATTAATACCGATCGGTCAAACTCCGGAAAAAGCTGTAGAATCGGATCGCTAAGCGAGCGCTGCCGCCCGACATGAGGCCAAGCACAGCCAGAGCCTACTGCAAACCAACCTCACAACACATATTTCAAAAATATATATATACTTGAAAATCACGTCTTTGTTCAATTCATTTCTTACTTTGTTTTTTAATTTTTGTAAAGATTTAAATATTTTCTTAAAGGCACCTTTTTGAAAAACAATTAAATGGTTGAAGAGACCTTAGTTTTTTTTTATTATTTTGATTTCAAGGTAAAGATTTGAAAAGATCTAATATCTTTTATAATTTGATGGCAATCTTATTTTATTAGAAATATTAATTTTATAACCAAACCTTCTATTATTATTTTCAAGGGACAAAAGTTGTAAACTCACTTTTCCTTCCGGCCTTTCTCTCAAAGTTGTTAAGAAGGGAGAGGTTTACACACTCTTATAAAAAAAATGTTTTGTTTCCCTTTCTAATTGAGGTGGGAGAGGTATTGTCCTCTTTTCAGATTTCTCTCCTAGACTTCCCCCTCAAGGTTTTAAAATAGGGAGAGATTTCTATTTCTACCCTCTTATAAAGAATTATTCGTTCTCCTCTCAACAGATCTGAGATCTCATATTGTCAATAAAAAGAAATCATTCATTCACTCACCGTCATGAAGAATAAGAATAATGGAGAGATAAGAACTCTATCAAACTTTATTAACTTTGAGGAAGACAATGAATAGAGGTATCATGTGTGTGTATATATATATATAGTTCTAGTTCAATTGTTACAATGATAAAAGAAAGGAAGTGGTAGAACGGGCTATGAGATATGAGTAGAATTTGGCACAATAATTATATTATTAGATATTGTTTGCTCTGCTCTATGTATAAAAAAATGAATGTAAAGTTCAAGAAGAAGAAAGAATGAGGAAATGAACTATGTAGAACAGAATAGAATAGAATTAGATCACTCATCTTGCACAGCCATCCTATCCCCAGTATGATAAATATTTTAAAAGGGGTTGTTCAAAAAGCCATAAAATTGACTCTTTCTGAACAAAACCTCAACTCAAATCATTGTCCCGTGCTGCAATGACTTTACGATGATGCCGAGACCTCCTCTCTCGACTACGTCTTTGGGAAGCCTTCCTTGGTAAACTCGGAGCTTTTTCCGACGACAACTTGCTGACAGGATTAACTATAGAAGATGGTAAGGAAGGTGGAGGTGGTGGGGGATGGACAGCCTTCTGTTCAAGTACGTCCCTATGATATTTCTGCAGGAGGTACAAAACAAAAACTTAATAGTGTTCAGTAATGTCATGGAGGTAGATCCATGCACTTAAAACTTTATCAACAGCTTCACATTCTCAGATTATATGATACAAAATTTCATAAGGTTTTGAACTCTCTTCCAGTATTGCATACAAGACGAGGTTTTCCCATTCACTAATTTTGAAGGCTCCATAAATCAATCAGAACACAATGTTGATATTCCAATATTGCAGTAATGGCTACATTTTGGCATTATGATCATATATGATTTTATTAACAATAGCAGAAGCAATCTACAAAATGATATCAACGAAATGCAATATAGAAAAGCTACCTGAATCACGAAATTGCGCCTTTCACAATCCAAGAACATATAGAGTGTCCAATTTGTTTTGGCCATTAGTTTGTCCCTCACAGTTGAAAAACTGATCTGATCTCTTGATGTAAAACGATCGACTTCATTGAACCAGAGGCAACTGAACAAATTGCTAATAGGCACATGCTCTCTAAGTATCACACATCCCTCGGGAACATCTGCAGGTAATCAATCCAAGACAGAACCTTAGATGACCCTGGCTTAACTTATTTCTTTTATGGAGAGGGTGGGGTGAACATACCACTTGTAATGGGAAGCTTGGCTTCGGAATAAGGAGTCAAACCTTCCATTACATAAAAGTTAACCTGAAAGTCAATAGAAGCATTATCATACTTTCCGGCAGCTTTATTCGCATCAGCTTCCGTAAACACATCAAAGCGTTTGTAGTGTCTAGAAATTGCAAATGTAGCATTTTTTCTCCATAAGAACCTGAAAATGTGAGCAGGGCATCAAAAAAAATTTGGCAGAGCCTCTTCAAACTGAAAGACATCAAATCCAAAGGATAGTTATATTGTAGAGGTTGTGTGAGACTTTCCAACTATTAGAAATTTACAAGACAACTAATATGTAAATTAGACATCTGTTATGGTTTATACTATTATTACTATATCAATGAAGATTTATAGCATTGGCCAAACTACACTTGCTTGTGGGACTATGAAGAAACTTCAGAGTGGGGAAACTCAGGTTTTCCATTATCACGTTTTGTGGAAAAATGATAGAGTGGCTCTATGCATTTCCGTCAATACAACCCTTCAGTTACTGCCACCAAGAGGGTCAACAAGGCATTCAAACAGTCAATGATAGTAACAGCCCAAGTTCACCGCTAGCAAATATTATCCTCTTTGAGTTTTCTCTTCTGGGATTCGTCTCAAGGTTTTAAAACGCGTCTACCAGAGAGAAGTTTCCACACTCTTATAAGGAATGTTTCATTTCCCTCTCCAACCAACGTGGAATCTCACAATCCACCCCCTGGGGGGCCCAGCGTCCTTGCTGGCACACCGTCTAGTGTTTGGCTCTGATACCATTTGTAACAACCCAACCCCACCGCTAGCAAATATTGTCCTCTTTGGGCTTTCCCTTCCGGACTTCCCCTCAAGATTTTAAAATGCATCTACTAGGGAGAGGTTTCCACACCCTTATAAGGAATGTTTCGTTCCCCTCTCCAACCAATGTAGGATCTCACAATGATCAAGTTAATCTAATGCTCATTCGTGCAAATACAAGTAACAAGAAATTGAGCAATATTTAGTCAGTGTAATATATTGCACCACCAATAAGTATCTCGACATTGTGAAATTGTCAAGAAGTATCGTCTAAGAAAATAGGATCCATCTTAATGGCTCAACTGGAGGAATTATGATGATTGAAGAATAGGAGTAATGGCATCACAAAGTTCAATGCAATCTTCAATGAGTACAGAACCCTCCAATAAAGTTGGTAAAGTTCACAGATAATCAGATGTACCTTGCAAGAATTTGATATGGATCCACAACAAGCTCAAGTTTGCCGTCAATCCAAAGAGAATATCGAGCATTAGGAAACATTCTGTGCACCAGAAGTTTTGGAATCTGCAACAGTAAAAACACAGAACAAACAATAAGTTTAAGGCACAACTCCTTCATCTTAGTATCCAGTTTCAGCCACAAAGTGATATTACATTGTGAAAATAAAGCTAAAAGTAAAGACCACAATGGAAGTGCCTTTCTGTTCAAGCAGATGAAAAAATGAGAAGGTTATTGTCTATAGGCAACACTATACCAAAAGAGAAAAAGGGAGAGCATTATATCCTTAATTCTTAAAGCATCCATTTAAACTGAATTCCAAACAGGCTCAAGAAGGAAGAACCCCTGAGAGCTACTATGCAACATTGATCATCTGGGTGTGCTAATTTTAATACAAATTGAACTGTGTTTACTTAAATTTAGAAGTTTACTTTTCCAGTACGTCTTGCGTCTTTGTAAGGTAAGTTATGGACCACAACGATTCTCCACAACCCAATTTTCTTGCTGCTTTCCAGGATCATACCAGTTTCCTTTAATGATGCTTCTGTCTCTTCATCAATAAACATGAAGAAGCAAACAGTGTTCTTGGCATATTCACTAATGTTCTTTGGTTGATTTATAATATCAAAATTTCCTGAAGAATAAGTAGTTTGATGAGCAACAAAACACACATTCACAATTAAAAACAAAATTGCAAAGATCGTACCAAATATTGCAGATGCAACAACCACACCACGACATTGCTCCATATCATGAAGGTCATCATCATTGATATCAAAACCTGTGTTGCGACCAGGTTTGACTCCCCTCACAAACCTAAACAAGCATACATAAACCAAAACACATAAATCCAAGATAAAAAGTAATATGTGGGACAATATTTATCATCATATGGGCAACCCACGCCATGTAGACAATAGGCAATGGAAAATTGTTGGAGTAAACATGAAAGAAAAAGGATGAAGACAGAAAAAACTAACCCACAATGCACTCTCATCGACTCCCTTACATCAAAAGAATCTGTCCTCTGGGCTAAAGTAGGATATCCACCAAAGTCCGAACCTCCAAATTCCGTCTCTCTTCTTATGTTTTCCTCATAAATATATTCCAATTTTTTAACAGGTGAATCTGATGAGGCATTTGGCATCAAGGCAACAGATTCTTCAACGGAAGGGTAACATACTGGACATGCTGAAGCATTAAAAAGAAAATTCTCAGCAAAGGTGCAAGTACCTTGAGAATCCATTGGTGCCCAAATATTACAGTCATCATGAAACATCCACAAAAAGCACAAGATTTTAAATCTGTTAAAGGGGAACGATACTTACGCCTCGGACCAGTTCTCTTTTTATCTGCAGGTGGGGGAGGCAGGGCAAAATTATTACAAGGGTGTCCTGGTGGAAGAGTGTAACCCATGAAAATTGCTGGTGGAGGAAGCGAAGGTGGTGGAGGAGGAAGAGAAGGCGGTGGAGGAGGAGGAGGAGGTGATGCCAATGAAGATGTCTCTCTCCTCTTTGTCAAGGAACTACTTCTATCATCCATAATATCTTGAGATGGGGATTGCCTGAAACTCATAACTAAGCTATTGTTCATACTGATGTGCTGGATACGCTGTTCTTCTTGGGCATCCTCACCTGGAAAGTCATGATCAAAATCAAACATATCATTACCTCGTGCAAACGCACACAAAGAAAGATGGCTCGAAAAATCTTGAAAGTCCAACATTTGATCAGAGTTCATAGTGTCAAACAATGTGCAGAGACCATAAAATCTTGAAAGGTAAGCATCAATCTATTAACGTTTGGTCAGTTAGTAAAAAAAAGATTGGTGAATTGAACCAAATGAATCATAAATCTACCACAAATGTGAACTAAATCGAATGCTTTTATTAGAAAACAAGAAGAAAGTAATGTCTGGTGCCTATAGCCACTGATTTCATCCCACATTCATAAGCATAACAAAAGTAAAATGTCATATAAATTTGA